CACGGCCCCCACCCAGCTCCTGGCACAGGGTGGCGAGGTGGTGAGGGCGTGGTGGCAATGGGAGGGCATCACTCGCCTCCTTCCTGCCCTGCCGCAGGTGGCCGGGCTGACGCTGCTGGCTGTCGGGATCTACTCCGCCAAGAACGCCACGCTGGTGGCCGGGCGGTACATCGAGGCGCGGCTGGGGAAGCCGTCCCTGGTGCGGGAGACCTCCCGCATCTCACTGCTAGAGGCGCTGCGGCACCCCCTGCAGGTAAGGGCTTGGCTGTCGGGGGACCAGTCCTCCTGGCGCTGTGTCCTGCCCATTCCTGGCAGGACAGCCAAGCACCCGTGTCCTCCTCCCTCCATCTCCCCACATACCTCCCCCTCGTGCACGTTGGATTTGCTCTGGGTTTGTCCTCACTGCGTCCCTGGAGGTCTGTCGGCGCCAGCACAGGGGAGGGGGCTCCTTGGGGTGGGGGAGCCTCATCCAGTCCGCTCAGTCCCCTGGGGTTGCCTCTGGGTGTTTACAGACAGCTGGGGCTCCCCTGTGCCCTTTTTCTGTAAGAGAAGTTGCTGAAAGTCATGGTGTTGCTGCCTCACTTCCATTCCCCCCACCCCCACCCTGGAAGCATGCTTCCCGCCCAGCGTGGATCGCGAGGCCTGTCCTCCCCGGGCTGTGATCTCTGTATCAGTCACGATGTGGGTGATGGAGAAAAGAGAGGTCAACAGCGACCTGTCCGTCACCCAGACCAGCAACACGGACAGCTGGTCAGTCAGCCTTCTGAAGTGCTGGCCTGTGTCCTGAGCGTGGGCCCAGCAGGGCTGTTCCTTGTGGCTATAGCGCTTGGTGGCTGCCCCCAGGGCTGCATCCATGACCCTGACCCCGGCTCCCCTGCAGGTCAGCAGGCGGCTGCTCAGCAAGCCTCAGGACGCGCTGGAGGGAGTGGTCCTCAGTGTGAGTGGGCGGGGCTGGGCAGAGGCGGGTAGGGGGGCGCTGCCTGGCGAACCCGCCCTGGGATCAGCTGCCTCTTGTGCTGCCTGGGCACCCGGGAGGGACAGACTGACTGGGCAGGGAGCGTCCCTCTAACCAGTTGCTCGTCCCCTGGTAGCCCAGCCTGGAGGCCCGAGTGCGGGACATCGCCATAGCGACGCGGAACACCAAGAAGAACCACAGCCTATACAGGAACGTGCTGATGTACGGGCCGCCCGGGACGGGCAAGACGCTGTTTGCCAAGGTGAGAGGCGGCCCATCCCCTAGTGGCGCCTGCCTGGGGCCTGGATGCCATGGGCAGGGGGCAGGGGGTGGACCTTGTCTGCTTTAGGGGAGGAAAAACTGCTTGCCCCGCCCACCCCAACCCCTATTTGCGCCTCCCCGTCCTCTCCCCCCCTGCCCCTGCTTTCCCCTCTTCCTGCCTCCGCACCCCACCCTCAGCCTCTACCGTCTCCCCAGAAACTGGCGCTGCACTCGGGCATGGACTACGCCATCATGACGGGCGGGGACGTGGCCCCCATGGGGCGGGACGGCGTGACAGCGGTGCACAAGGTCTTTGACTGGGCCAGCACCAGCCGGCGAGGGTGAGCGGCACCTCCTGGCGGCCTGGTTCCTAGCGGCCCCTGGCTGTCTGGGAAGGAAGGGGTCAGGGACTTCTGCAGCCAGTCCTGCTGCCCTGGTGCCCAGGGGGTCCGGCAGCACCGTGCAGGGGGTCATTCACCCCGTGCGACTCCCGGCGGCCGAGCTCACAGGAGCCTCTTGGTGCCGGTGGGTGTTTAATTCAGGGCCAGGTTCTGGCCGCTTTCTCCTGGTTCTGGCCGCTTTCTCCTGGTTCTGGCCGCTTTCTCCTGGTGCTGGCACTTGGCACGCCCCGTCCCGGGTCGAGGTCTGGGTCCCAAAGCTGCTGAGGGTGCGTGGGGTGGGGGATCCTGAGCACCGGCCATCCCGGGGGCCACGCAATGGGAGGCCCCTCCCTCAGGCGGCCCCTCCCCCCACAGCCTCCTCCTGTTCGTGGACGAAGCGGATGCCTTCCTCAGGAAGCGAGCCACCGTGAGTGTTCTGGAAGCTTCTGTCTGGCGGTGGGCCTGGGTGGTGTGTTCAGTGGCTTAGGCTACAGCTGTGCTTTCTGGGAGGGTCATGCCTGAGGGCGGCCAGGCCTGCTCCTCAGCTGAGCTTCTTTGCTAAATTTTGTTGGACAAGCGGAAGCATCCCTGGCGTTTCTTGGAATCTTCTTGATCAAGTTTAGGTTCATAGGCACCACCGGGAGGAGCAGACACTCTGCCTTCCGTGGGCGGCTCAGCCCAGCTGCTCGGCCAGCCTGGTGCCTGACCCGGCTTCTCTCTGCAGGAGAAGATCAGCGAGGACCTCAGGGCGACCCTGAATGCCTTCCTGCACCGCACGGGCCAGCACAGCAGCAAGTGAGGCACCCGCAGCTCGGGCTCCGCGCAGAGCGCTTGCCGCGTCAGCCCACCTGGTCCTCCGCGCCGCCCACTGGGGAGCCGGGCACTGCCTGTTCACGCTGCTGCAGGGCGGGGCAGGGGTAGGGCAGCGCTGCTGACCCAGTGCCCGCGGAGCCCACGCGTCTCCCGCTCTGGGACGTCCCGTGTCCCTTGTGCGGGGTGTCTAGGAAACACTGAGAAGATTTGCTGGGGTGTCTGGGCAGCGGCCCCACAGCTGGGTACCCTGGGGCACAGGTGCCCCGAGAGTGGGCTGGCCCCTTTTCAGTCCCCGAGTCACGCTCTTCTGCATCAGCGTGGCCCTCCTGCCCCGCCCCCCCAACTGGTCACACGGGGCGCCCAGCCCTGCTGGTGGGCATGTCCCTCACAGGCCATGGCTGCGACCCCGGAGAGGTGGCTGTCCCTGTGAGCTGGCCTTGGCTCAGCCAAACCCTGGCCCTGAGCCCCGGCCTCCTGGTCAGAGGGCAGGGGGCTGTCTCAGACCTGGAGTCTGTCCCTCCTCACAGCAAGGCTTATCAGCCTCCCCTTGGGCCGTCGGCCAGAGATGCATGGGATGGGGCAGGGGCAGATCTGCTGGAGGGAGGGTGGACCACAGGGGCCAGTGCTGGGTCTTAAAAAGCCCAGCCTGAATCTGCTAGCCGGGGGCAGGAGGTGGGCAGGATGGGCAGGTGGAGAGGGAGCAATGGGTCGATAGAAGTGGAATCTGCTAGAAAACCACCTGGGAGGGTTGGCCTGTGCCCCAGCAGTGAGCGCCCCAGCTGTGAGCACTCGGCTCTGGACCCCTCAGCTCCTGCTTCTGTCGCTGCAGGTTCATGCTGGTCCTGGCCAGCAACCAGCCCGAGCAGTTCGACTGGGCCATCAATGACCGCATCGACGAGATGGTCAGCTTCGAGCTGCCACAGCGGGAGGAGCGGGAGCGCCTGGTGAGGATGTATTTTGACAAGTATGTTCTTAAGCCAGCCACAGAAGGAAAGCAGTAAGTGTCCTGGAGCCGCCGGCGCTCCCTGCCCTCTTGCTGGGGTCCTCCCAGCAGGGCCTTGGCCCCCAGCTCCTGGTTCAGACTGACCTCTGACCCCTAACGTGTGGCTTCACGAGGGGCTCAGGGCGGGTCATGTGCGGCTTTGTCCCTGGAGGTCCTGCCACCCCCCCGTCCACCTGCCCCCTCCTGTACCCCTCCCCCCTTCCGTCCACCTGTCCCCTCCCGTCCATCTGTCACTCCTTGTCCACATGCTGGGTCCCCGTGTCCCTGTCCAGCTCTCCACCGGGTCTTGGAGTTGATAGCCCATCCTTTTCTGTTACACAAAGTGCCTTAAGGAGGCAGATCCAGGCCGCAGTCAGGCCTGGGCGGTGAGGGCCGTGGTGGGCGGTTGCAGACCTAGAGCTTCGCTCTGACACCTCCATCCACTGCACCCCGACTCCCAGGAGCCCGGGGCCCTTTGCCAGCATGCAGCAGTCCCGCCTCTGCAAAGCCCGTGTGGGGGTGGCGCCCTCCACACTGTCCAGGCCGCACTCACTCGCCGCGGTGCCTGGCGTGCTCCAGATAAGCAGAGCCCGGCTATTTTAACCGTCTCCAGGGGACGGGTCTCGGCAGCTCTGACCCGAATCCCTCCGTGCTGGCAGCAGGGAGAGCGGCCTCTGTTCCAGACGGACTGTGCCCGCTGCCACCCTCGTGCCTGCCTCCCAGCTCCCCTGGGCCTCCTCCCTTTGCCCCCAGCATCCCGGCCGCATGGGTGGGTTTCTGAGGCTTTTGCCATGAGTGTCTGAGTGGTGCTCCTGGCCCTTCAGCCAGGCCCGCCTGGGGAGGCTCAGTGCACGTGAAATTGCGGGAGCTTCACTCCGGTTGAGGCGTTGCGCCCTCCCGCTGATTTCCTGCTGCTCTGCTGGCTCCCCAGTTCACCCTGACGCAGCTTCAGATGCTCTGCAGCTGGGGCTGGGCAGGGCTGGCAGAGAAGGAAGGACATGGTCCCTGGCCCCAGTGGACAGTGGGGCCCCTCCTTCTCGTTTCTCAGCACGGCACGGCCCCTGCAGCAAGCATGCCCCACCGTCCTGACCCCAGCCCCTGCCTGGACCCTCTCGGGCTCCAAGAGGAGAGGAAGTGCCACCAGGGCAGGAAGGCCAGCTGTGGGTGCCCGGGGTTCCCTGCACAGCCTCCTGCCCCGAGGCCCGCCCTCCCTCGGGGAGGGTTGTGGGGCCCTCACAGGCCTCTGGTCCTGCCGGGAGTCGGGGCCCCGGGGTCATGTGGGACCCTCCTCACAGGCGCTTGAAGCTGGCCCAGTTTGACTACGGGAAGAAGTGCTCCGAGATCGCACGCCTGACCGAGGGCATGTCGGGCCGGGAGATCTCCCAGCTGGCCGTGGCCTGGCAGGTGAGTGGGCAGGCGCCCCTCCGCCTCTGAGGCGTCCCAGCAGCCGCTCTCGGGTGCCCCATCCTGGAAGCATCTGCTCCTTGGCTGCCCAGCAGGAAAACACCGGCTCTTGCATCTGACAGCCTGACCACCGGAAATTCAGAAATGCTTTTAAATGACTATTTTATTCACTAAGTACCCATCTACTTCAGTTTGAAGTGTGGCTCAGATATGCAGGGGCTGCATTAGAATGAGCTGGGTTATGCTGCTGTAACAAATAGCCCCAGATTGCAAACTTGTATCCTGTGGGCCAGCTGGGGGCTCGGCTCTGGGCCGTCCTTAGCAGGACCCAGGCCTGTGATGGTGGCTGGAGGACAGATGTCTTAGCTCGGGATGCAGTAAGTGTGCTCCTCACAGGAGTGGCAGGGGCAGCCCAGGTCGGGCACAGACCAAGGTGAGCAAAAACGCCTGGTCAGGTGACGGGACGCGCTCTCGATGCCCCACATGGGCCGAGGCTGCTGGGCAGCTGGACTGGCTCAGGCCCCTGCTTGGTGGGCACCCATTGCTGTCCACTCAGCAGGCTTGGTCAGAGCCACGGGCCGGTGACAGGAAGCAGGTAGGGTCCTGTGTCATCTGGGAGGGGGTGGCCCATCGTCACCTAAAGGTGACCTGCTTGGCAGCTGAAGAGTGGACCACCCTGGGCCTGATTACCAAAACTTTGGTGACCCCACCCAGGTGCCTGCCCCCATTTGGGGGCTGGGAGCCCTGGGCACTGGGAGCAGAGCGGCCGGGCAGTGGCCTGGCTCTCAATGGTCCCTGTTTCTGGAAGGACTGTTTGCAGGTGGTGGGGGTCCTGTGAGGGGCAGGCCCCGTGGACCACAGTTGCTCAGTGTTCGGGGGCAGTTGGGCCTGGCGGGGCCACTCACCCCATCAGAATTGCTGGGGCTCCTGCCGCCCCTCCATGTCGAGAGGAACTGTCCCCCGAATGGCCTGTGGTGGTTCTGTGGTCTGTGCCCTGGCAGAGGGCAGCTCTGCTGTCAGAAGCAAGGCCCTCAGTTCTGCAGGGGGCTGGGCTGCTTCCCAAACTCGCCTGGGGCTGTCTTAATTTTAGAAAGTCATGGAGTGAGACCAGGCCAGGGGCCAGGTGGGTGGTGCAGGGATGGCACCAAGTCTGGGCTGCAGATCACCTGTGAGCAGGCATGAGTGGGCACATGTGTGTACTGGAGGCAAGGTGTGTGCCATCAGCGGGTAGGAGTGTGTGTTCTGCCCAGGGAGGGTGTTGGCCAGCCATTCCCTGGCAAACGGCACCACGACTTGGCTCCCACCTGCCCCCACCCTGAAGGAGGACATCTCCAAGAAACAGGCTCATGGTTGGGGAAGCAGCATGGAGGGTGGGCCGGCCAGGCTGTGTTGTTCGGGGCCTGGCCCTGGCCCTGCCTACAGGGTGACTGGCCTGGTGCCTGGGGGTCCCCATGCAGGCAGCTCCGGGCCCCTGCCCTGCCTCAGTGCTCTCTCTCCCTGCCAGGCCATGGCGTATGCCTCTGAGGACGGGGTCCTCACCGAGGCCATGATGGACGCCAGGGTCCAGGACGCCATCCAGCAGCACCGGCAGAAGATGCAGTGGGTGAAGGCCGAGCGAGCCAGGCCCTCGGGCAGCCAGCCCCCACTCCCAAGTGCACAGACGGAGTGAGCTGGGCCTGGACCCGGGGACCCTGGGCGCACTGGCTGGGCAGCATCGAGAGGCAGCGCGAGGTGCCACGTGTCCGGAGGTCGTGGGTGCTGCACAGCCCCGCGCCTCCCCAGGGTGTCCGTCTTCCTCTGGTCAGGCCAGGGCAGCATTCCAGCCTCTGCTGCGGACAGCTGCGGCTCTGGTGTCTGATGGGAACCTGCCCTCCACGCAGTGGTTGTGGCTGGAGAGCCTCAGGCTGGGGCCGCGCCTGGGACATGAGTCTCTGCCAGGCAGGGGGAAGGCAGGTCCCTGGCGCCTGGCTGCTGAGGCTGTGACCTGCAGGGGGCGGAGCCTGACCTTGCCGGGCCCCGCCCAGACCAGAACCTGGCCAGGGCTGAGCGGAGCAGACCCCGTGGTGCCCTGCACACCGCTTTGTGCCCTTGGGTACCTGGTGGATCTGCACCCGAGACCGGAGACCCCCGACCTGCTGGGGCGCTGCCCCGGCCCAGATGGCCTGCAGCCCTAACTCCTGGAGCTGGGTGTTTCTGTCAGAATCTAATAAAAAACTGACACCTCAGTGCATCTCATGGCTGGTGAGGGGCGGGGCTGGAGGGGTCACGTGAAAGAAGAGGCAGAGGCTGGAGCTTTCTGGAGAATTTACTGACCAGCAGGGGCGGGGGTCACAGTGAGGCGCCGACCAGGGATGCCCTGGGCAGGGTGGCCGCACTCGCCACA